CGCTTGCCTCCCTCCTGCCTCTGCTAAATTCCTTCCCCGCACGCTGCCTCGTATTATACCCGTCTGGGGCTCCGTCATCTTTCACCATAGCAACCAATAGGAAAGGATGGGCAGGCATCTTCGAGTGATTTGGGAATGTTATCCCTAAAAGCTTTTGCCTGGGAGAAGTATGTGTCTCTGAGGCAGAAAAAAACAAGCCAGGGCAGGTTTTTTTGCTGGCTTGTTTGGCTTGGTTGCAGTTTTCTTTTTTTCCCCTGTCCACAGTCCCCCAGCAAGACCACCACTGCACCCCAGCAGGGTCTGGGGTTGGAGACACGTTGGCACATGGTATGAAATCCGGGATCCTGGCCTGCGGTACACATTGATAGTTTAGTACTCAGGGGCTTTGTCTTTAATTCTATGATTTCTTGCACATATAAACTACTGATGTAAGCCAAAGCCAGTGAGCAATAGATTTTCGTCCCTGATGCTGCAGCGATGTCCATTAGCTTTTTAATACTTTCTAAGCTGTGTGATGGGAATAGGAATTGTTTTCAAAGACCTCGACCTCCTGCTGAACTCCCATGGGATTAAGACAGGCTCTTCTTTGAATGCCCCTGCCTTATAGACAACTCGGGGATGTCCCATCAGTCTGGTGAGAGGGCAGGAGGGAGAGGCAAAGCCAGTGCCAGCAGTGTTCAGGGGAGCAGCCCGAGTCTGTGGCCGGGAGGGGACAGACGTGGCACTGGGCCTGGTAAGGAGAGGCTCTGAACAAGTGACTCGCTGCTCTCTGAAGCCAAAATGTGTTTGAGAGAGGAACTTTCCCAGAATAAATGTTGGTTCTGGGTCTGGAGTTACTTATTCCATGTTGTTCCTGGAAAGGTGCTTGCAACGTTTTGAAGATCTTCTAAATATCAACAGTGATGAGATGATGCAAACTACATGAGGAGGGGCTATTACAAGCCTGGAGGGTATGTGTGGCCCTTGCTTTTGATTTACATTTTGCAGTTCTGGATGTTTTGGTTTTGTCTTCCAAGATCTGTATTCTCTTCTGTCTCTGTGAGTGAGCTGCGGCTGCCAGCGAGCTGGAAGCTGGGAGCAGAGATGAAAATAATTATGGGCAGGGATGGAAACGAAAGTGCTCCCAGGTGGCTTCCTGCCATTTACATGGCTTGGTCCTGCTTACAAAAGCAGGGGGATAGAGAGCTCTTAGCTGGTCCCATGCTGCGAGTAAAGTCCATCCTTGCCTGCAGGGAGAGACCTGAGGATACAAATCCGTGCTTCAGAAAGGTGGATTACACCTTTTCATGAGAGTGCCTGCAGGGAGAGACCTGAGGATACAAACCCGTGCTTCAGAAAGGTGGATTACACAAGGTAGTAACGTTTTCATGAGAGAACTGCTTTGTTATGGCGTTTGGATTGTTGAGTTTGTCAGTGTTCACAGTTGCTTTGAAATTAAATTTCAATTGTTCACAAATAAGATGTGTTAGGAGAAAAAGAAGAAACCAAGGAAAACAGGAATAGCTGGATTAGGTCAGCAAAGGGTCCTGCTGACCTTTCTCCATGCAGTGATCCATCCTGCTAGCTCAAAGGAAACCACAGCAAAGCTTTCAGTGGTGTTGGTATTACCTGCTCCCAAAATCAAGCTTGCACCAGTTTACGCTGGTGATGAGCTTGAAATTCTCATTTCCCAGGATGAGAAGATGCCAAATGCCAGTGCCAGGACTACTCCAGCACTGGTGTTTCCTATATCTGCAGGTGGACCCGGCTGTGGCCCTGCCTGGGACCCCTCACTCCTCACCATAGGATGCAAACAGCGGGCGCGCTCCAGTGGCCAGCAGAAACTGAGCCATTTTCTGCCATTGAGCCACTTATAAAACGCAGCAGGTTGCCAAGTCTACAAAGAAGCTGCAAAATTACCAGCAACACACTACTTACTGCTCATTGACCACTTTTTAGCTCTGTAAATGCTTTAGATTGGGCTTCATTTATGTATTTCCATGAGCCCTTCTGTTTTTCTTGGCACTGCTGGACCGAGGGTCACGCCAGACTTGCTGGAAATCCCTGGTTCCCTCTCCTCCCCCCCCCTTTTTAAGCGAGCAAGCAGATGTAACCTGAAGGACAGTGCATGCTGCCGGCGCTTGCAAAAATAGTTACGGCGCGCGAATGGGATGGAGCTGCTCTATTTTCTACTGCCGTGTCTGCAGCAGCAGCACAAAGGTGTTAAGGAGCTGTGGCTGCTACAGGGGGGGG